TAGATCTTTTAGGTTCTCTTGGATACCTTTCATTGCCAAATTGCTGGCCACCAAAAAAGGACAATTCTTGTCTCTTATAGCATTAAAATCCATGTTGAATCCAACCTAAAAGTAGCAACCTTCCTTTAGCTTAAATTAGGACAATAACAATACCTCATAAAKCGCCGGTAGGGGATTAGCACAAGTTCAATCCGAGTCTACGTGCTGACACATCGATGTGTTGCATGAGGCAAAAGTATAGAGTGGTTTGGTTTCTACCTTCGCAATGATATCCATGGCCACTCTRTGAAATTCCTCTGCTAAATCAACTGAAACATTTGTGTCTGCATATGTACCAATCTTTTCGATAAGCTTATCACAACAAGAGTTGAATTCAGGGATAAAATTCATAAGATATTTCCTGTGAAAGGCTGGGTTAAGAGTTATCCTTTTAAGATTCCAGGWCTTAGTATGGCACTGTGTTAGCAAACCTTTTCCCATGAGTCTTGTGTTRTAGACATACTGAAAATGGAAGTACGTTGGTTGTGATTTGGGTAAATTCAGATTGACAAGGACTTTCTTTACTAGTTCATTTCCTAATGTCATTACTTCAGGGATGTGAATAATCCAAATCACAAAMAGATTTCCATGTTCCAAATGCCATTCATGTAGTATTTCATAGAGTGCTCTGCCTTCTTGTCGCTTCTTTTTTATAGTGGGAAKATGCCCCATCAACCAGCTATCTAATGGAGGACTTGGAAGATGACGATATTTGGCTCGAACATAGAATAAATACAACAGAAAAGCTACAAATGCGGACAATTTCGCTAAAAGAAGGAACAGGAAACTGTACCCTATCAAAGAAATCGTTGGTACCATTATTGAGCCTGTTTTCTCTAGTTCTTTTGCGACGATATCTTCATTAATGCCGGTTGTTTAATTATCTCCCAAAAGGCACTTGTCTTAACAGCACTGTATAAAGAAGCAAGCCGATTGGGGGTAAATTAATGTATCGCCGTACAAATTCCAAGTGGAAAGGGAGTCACGATATTATGGTAAGCCATTGGAGCACCTTATGGTCCCGACAACAGGAATCGTCCCATGTTTTTTTTCTAAACAAGTAGCGGATTATATTCCTTATAACATGTGGAAATTAGTCCCTTGTTTCGTATGCAAATTGCAGTTTATGCTATTGTCTATGGATACACTCCGATCGGTACAACGATCGAATACACCGCACCTGAAACTGAACTAAGCGTACACGTAGCTGGCTGCGCGTTGACATCTAGCCACTAATGTAAATRTTTGTCGATTCTAGAAAGTTTTTTCAAACAATTAGACTCATGTAGCCACGCGTAGACACTTTGTATATGCCGTTTTTTTAATTTTACGCGTGGCTAAAATCCCTCATCAAGATTTTTAGAGGGGTATTCAATAGCTTAAATCAGTGCGCGATCTGAAGTGTTAATTGTAAAAGAGCTTAACAAATCATACATTAAATGAGTACATCTCTTCTTAGAGTTGGTGATGAGATGTCACTGGATTCATATAACTTCAACCAGTCTGCAACTTTTTAAAGTCTCACTTCACAATTTAACATTATTAGAAAATTATTTTCATTACTGTCTTCTTTTAACTCTACACCAAACTCCATCTTTCGGTCTTACTGTCAGTGCCTCTTCATAGCACATTGGTTTGTCTGACACTAATTCAAACTCAAACTCCTGATAAAGACGAGCCATGATGATCTTAGACTCAAATTGAGCAAAGTTCTTGCCAATGCATGATCTTGGCCCCATTGAAAATGGAAAATAGGTTTCAGAAGGAATTGAGTTGGAAGTGGTAAATCGCTCAGGGTCAAATACTCCAGGGTCAGTCCAGCTGTTTTCAGAYCTGTGGGCTGTGACAACACTCATTTCGAYACGGCTGCCGGCTGGTATTTTATAACCTGCCAGCTCAATTTCATTATGAGAAAATCTTGTGAATCCTTGTACGGGAGGATGAAGTCGTAGACTTTCCTTGAATGTTCTCTCTAAGTATTCTAGCTTGGCAAGATCTTCATAAGTGACATTGGTCTTTCCCTTAAGCACACTCTCAATCTCTTCTATTACCCTACAAAGATGAATAAAATTTCAAAAACTCATTAATTATTCATGAGGTATTCAGCCAATCCCTGATTGTAATTTGTACCACGTGAAGTAACTTGAAACCAGAGGAAGTACTCGTACCTTGTGTTCTACCTTATTTCCTGTTACTTCTACCTTTCTCAAGTTACTTCTACATTATTTCCAGTTATTTCTACCTTATTTCCAGTTACTTCTACCATGTTTCCAACTACTACTAGCTAATGATAATCAAATTATTGGAAATAATCAGTTTAACATTAATTTAGTGAAAAAAGGTCTTTGATACATGACTCCCTCACGACTCGATCCCCTACCGTCCAGTCTATGTGCGCCGTCTTATACCATTACACCACCGAGTTTCTGATGCGATTCCTCGGAAGATAACATACTTATAAATCTTATGGATTAGGCTCATTAGGAATGCCATGAATAGCAGACAAAGACAATTTGAATAGCTTTTGTTTCAGAAAGCCGTCCGGGAATTGAAGAACAACAAACGGTGCTTCTGTATTCAAAATTATGAAAACTGAAAACCTTGGTGGAGATGCAATAAATCAATATRTTTCTGTTATATGTATTTCCTTCGCTTTTTTCCCCTCCCGAATAATTAATGAGTTTTTGAAGTCGTTCAAAGGCCTCCAATTCGGACTTGACGGGATTTCAAAGTCCGCGCAATTAGTTCCAGTCCTCGGCTAACGCCTCGGACTGGAACTAATTGCGCGGACTTTGAAACCCCGTCAAGTCCTCATTGTCAGCCTTTAAACATTACGTGAAAAATTAGGAGTCAATATAACTGATCTGACTGGTTGACTAAACTTGGAACATTACAAAAAAGCGAAGATTAAGGAGGACTCTTATATCAAAGGTTACAATTCTAATGTAAGAGAATTTGTTTCATACTGCTTCTGGTAAAATATATGTTTCTTTTTCAGCACAGTAGATCTATTTGTTGGAAAAGGTTTAGTGATCTGTTAGAGAAGGATTTACCTTAACTTGATGTCTGCATTTTTCTCAATCTCATACAAAGTATAGGCTAAAAGGTTTGCAGTGGTTTCTTGGCCTAAAAATGAAATATAGAAATATCAGAGTTCTAACTAGTTGTAAGTATTTTTAATATAAACGTTTATAAGCTGCATTACTGTACAAAGGTGTTTTAATTCATCATGCAAACTGATACCTGCTAAAAAGAAAGTAACAAACTCATCAACCATTTCATTCATTGTCACAGAAGGATTGTTTGCTTTCATTTGAATGATGTGTTGAAGGATGTCACTAGGAGCAGTCTTCCCATCGTTGATGGCAGCAATTCTTTCTTCAATTATCTTTCTTCCAGATTCTCGTGCAAACTTTACTGCTTTAATGACTTTCCACTGGAAGGGGTATGTTGGAAAGTTGATTCTCCAAAATATATCATTAATAGTCGCTTGGATTCCTTTTACCAACAAATAGCTGGACCTTAAAAATGGACAATCCTTGTCTTCTACAGCTTTCCAATCTTTGTTGAATCCAACCTTTTAGAGGACAACAACAATGCCTTTTATAATTGAATGTGAAATTGATTAAAATTGTGTGTAGGTGTGGAGAGGGAGGTGGGACTCAGTAGAGAACATATATGACATAGGAAAATAAGATGCTTAAAGCAAGAAATGTTATTATAATTTTTTGTGAGGAGGGGGAGGTTATGCCTGAATACACTCTATATCTGTACATGTAGGGGGTGGGGAGGAAAAACCCTACTCAATTGCAGAGTAACTATGCTATTCCTTTTTACCGTCCCAATTATGTCCATTGTAACCCTGTGAAATTCCTCAGCCAGATCAACTGCAACATTTGTATCTACATATGCTGAAATCTTTTTGATAAGCTTGTCACAACAAGTGTTGAATTCAGGGATGAATTTCATAAGATATTTCCTGTGAAATGCTGGGTTAAGAGCCATCCTTTTACGAAGCCACGACTGTGTATTGCAATCGGTGACAAGACCATATCCTGTGGCTCTTGTGTTGTATACAAACTGAAGCAAGGAATATGTTGGTTGTGACTTTGGCAAATTCAGAGTAACACAAACTTTTTTTACAAGTTCTTGTCCAACAGCTATTACGATAGGGATGTGCATAAACCAAATTACAAACAAATTTCCATGTTCTAAGGACCACTCTTGCACTATATCATGGATTATTTGGCCTTGCTGTCGCTTTTGTTTGACAGTGGGAAGATGCCCCAACAACCAGCTATCGAATGGAGGACTTGGAAGATGTTCGTATTTCGCACGAACGTGTCGTAAATACAAAGTGAAAGCTACCAACGCCGACGCGATAATCAAAACAAAAAATAGGAAAATGTATGGTAGAATTGATAAAAGAGACATGGTTTCAATTATCGCGTGATTTGCAAGAAATTGGCAAAGTGATGGATGGACTGATTCTAAAGAGGATACACAGGTAACCCAATGTTTCTATGTTGTGATATACCACTGGTCGTCATTATTGCATGTTCAGACATGGATGCCTGGAGTGCTCAATCATCTCTTCCTCAAAGAGAAGATGAAAAATCAGCTCAACAAGGCAAAATACCAATAATACAAATCGAGAATGAAGTATCTTTAACTATCCAAGGACAACGGGCCGTTCAGGACATCGTCGATAAAGCTCTGGAACTCTTTCGACGCTTGCAAAATTTCAAGTTGAGTTCGGAGACAACAACAACTTCAAGACAAAGTCAGATGCAGTC